GATCTGATAGAAGAGAGAGAGAGAGAGAGTGAGAGTGAGAGAAGTGTATGGTTACAGTGTTGTGATGAGAGACAGAGAGAGAGAGAGAGAGAGCAAGAGAGAGAGAGTGAGAGTGAGAGAAGTGTATGGTTACAGTGTTGTGATGAGAGACAGAGAGAGAGAGCAAGAGAGAGAGAGAGAGAGAGAGAGAGAGAGAGAGAGAGAGAACTGATAGAGGGGCTGGTGTTGAATGACATCCCCCACTACACTCGCGTTCTAACTGGTAAGCAGGAGTAGAAACAAAGGGAAGGGAGGGGAGAAAGAGAGAGGGGGAAGAACTGTTTGAGGGGCTTCCTGGATTTTCTCAGGAAAGACTATCATGGATATTTCACTGACCTTGTAAGAAATACAAGCAAAAATTTATCATCAAGTATCAGTTTGTTGTGCTAATGTACGAGATACGCGAGACAATAAAACGATATCTTCTGCTAGCGACGAGCAAACATTAAAAGTAAAAACTAACCGTTTGAACATCGACCATCGATTGTTGGTACTATTGCACATACTCAGCCATAGATCAGCTTATATCTACTAGTAAATCCGGACTCGCGTTAATTTCGCACCCTGCTATCAGTATCAGCCCCATATATCAGCTTAGCTACTAATAAATAGATAAGCTTTCTGCGTCGTCACGACATCTCGAGACCGGACGACAGTTTACACGTGCATCTAGAATACCAGCAGAATGAACAAACAATAGGCTGTCAGTCAGGGGTAGAAATTAACATGTGAACAAGGGAGTCCGTTGGACTCCCTGCCCCTCAAAAAGAGGGAGTCCGCAGCAAAATGAGGCAGTCCGCAGTCTGAAGTTCAAAACTAAAGATATTAACAATAACGCATATGAAGATTCATGAGGTTGCACGTCAGTCGTCTGCCAAATTTTCTTTCGAACATTTACTAAAACATTCTGCGAGGCCGTGCTCTGGAACGAACTAGTTAGTATGGCAGAATTTTCAGGGAGTCACACGGACTCCTGCATATGTCAAATCAGGGAGTCCGACAGTAAATCAGGGAGTATTTGACTCGGGACTCAGGTTAAATTACCGTTCGCAATTGGACGACAATTTACACGTGCATCTGGAATGCCCGGAGCATGAACAAGCAACAGGCTGTCAGTGTCTGGCTACAGCCGCACCACACCCGATTTTACCGCGAACTGACGCCGGACTCCAAACACGAACACACGCACGCACATCTCGACCCGCCATCGTACGGAATCAATCGCCTTCAGAGTAAATTTGCTTTGAGATGACTCGGCGAAATGAAACCGATAGCAGCGGTCTCGACAACTGGTCTAGATAGCTAAGCAGTCTTTGTCAGGATGAATGAGAAATTTTGAAGATTCGGTGTGCAAAGGTAAATGTCACCGTGACCTGTTAATGGTTTCCCCTGGCCATGTAAGGTGGTAAATTTTGTTTGGTGTGTTTGCGCGTTTCGAGGTCCTATCCCAGTTAGGGGGCCGGGGGCATAACCCCGGGAATTTTTTGAAAAAATGGTGCAATTTGGTGAATTCTAGGCTGTTATGGTGCATTATAAGCACTGTTCTATGGAAGAACAGCGATTTTCGTCAGCGAGGCGGTGTTTCAATGCAGGGGAAACACTGCCTGTATTACAACAGGTAACATTAGATCACCCTACACAGTGACACATACTTCACTAAACTCTCTTAATATACAGTGGACCCCGAGATACAAATTTAATTCGTTCCACAGATTTGTTCAGAACTCGAAAAATTTGTATCTCAAACCCTATACAGGACGTACAGCAACTTACATACAGCAAGTGCAATCGTGAGAGCATTTAAGCACATTCAATGAGTCACGTACTTAAACTGACACACCGAAAAGAGCGTGCGCTAAGCCTATGCCCCGATAGGCCGATTCATAAGACGTTCGTATGTTGAATTTTATTCGTTTGTAGAATACATTACGTTCAACGGGAGGTCGCCCGTATCTCGAAAATTCTTATGTCGAGACGTTCGTATCTCGGGGGTCAACTACTGTAGTGTATACGCCATATTTTTTGCGTACAGATATTTTCGCGAATTTAGACTTGACGGGCAATTTCGTGAGTGGTTAATTTCGCAGTCGGTGAATTATGAATTATTCGGTATTATTCAGTATGAATTATTCGCGTGCTGCATGTTATTTTCGCAGTCGGGGACGCGTTCGCGAAATTCGTGAAAATTAAATCATCGCAAAATATACAGCGTATACAGTATATACAGGTAACATATTATGCTGCGTTTACACTATCGATTTTTGTCAGCAAATCGTCCGAGTCGTGCAAAATAGAACACGTTCTATTTCTCCAACTCGACGACTTGACTCCGACTCCGACTCCAATACAATCGAACGCCTTGGAATGCACTTGGGTCATGTCGGGGGAAAGTTGCAATGCACTTGAAATCGCTACGATTTGCTAACCACAATCGATAGTGTAAACGCAGCTTTAGACCGTTCGTAATACACACATACGTACCTTCACTCTGACTTCCCCGGCTTGCGGTGGCGCCACCTGGATGGTTTCGATGGAAAGCGGCTGCTTCTCTGCCCACGCGACGGCGGCGCGGCACGTTATCACCTGGACATGCAACAGCCAACGTTACATGGACACGATACAGGGGACACGTTACGGGGGATGCGTTATGTTATGGGGGACACGATACGTGTCACCAGCGGTTAAAATGTAACTTGTAATTGTAGGTGCCTGGATATGGCAGTGCAGTGGCGGCCGGTGGTTTCGAGAACTGGAATAAATACTTTTATAAATTCGAGCGTAGTAATTATATTAGCTCATGACACCTACCTTCCCGGCCGTTTCAGACATCTTGGTGAGTTCTTGGTAAAATTAGGAGTTACTGTAGCAATTTAGTGTGCGAGAATGTCTCTAAAATCAACTAAAATTAGTAGAGGAGCAAACTAAAATACTCGACTGTTACAGATGGGAACACGCCTCACGCCCTCTATGTGCGCAAGGACTTCTGGGATATTATTCTCTTCAGATATCCTCGTCTTCTGTTTTAATAGAGACAGACAACTGCTGATGAATGTATAAATGTATTATTTAGCGTAATTTTTTACATTATCTTTTAATGGAGAGACAAATAATTTACTGTGTTTACGGCTCAGTGACTCCGTCTAGTCATTACTTGTCTTCTCAGAATGTTCCCTTGTTTTAATATCTAACATGGCAGCGCCCGTCGAGTAGCCGAAAATAAAAACAACAATACGTTAATTTAGTAGATTTTACCGATATAAGTGAACTTGCATTATCTAACTGTGAATTAGATAAAAGAAATGTCAAACAAATACGTCCGCCTAATATTTATAATTCATGCATGACACCAAATCATCTATTCCTTCTTCAGTGATGACTGATGTGCTCCCAATGGGCAATAGACACTCCGTCACTCGCAGCTAGGGCATGCCGCCATGCGCATACCTCCCAAATCCCATTGGTTGATACAAATCACGTGCCTGAAACTCCTGTTTTATTAAAACTTTTATGTTGCATTGTGACCCTAACCCTAATTAAAATTTAATTTAAAAAAATTAACTAGATTTGTATCAACCAATGCCAATGGGATTTGGGAGGTATAATGTACAGTATATAATATGGCATATGCAAGCCCTAGCTGCGAGTCCAATAGACAATCAATACTATAGTCTATAGAGTATGGTAGTAGTATATAGTACAGTATAGACAGTACTACCTACTTCAACTTCCAGAGAGACCGGGTACAAGATGGCGTTGCGCAAAAGATGCGTTGTTCCCCGACCGCCGAAAGCGGTTAAGCCGCGCACTTCCGCGGGACTGGGCGCACGCAACCGCGGGGTGTTGTATGTAGCATCTCGCGCTCCCCGCTATACAAATTCGCGCGCCGAAGGAAGGCGGGCGCACGAATGCGTATAGCGGGCAGCCTAACATCGCGCAGTTTTCGGGACATGTA